ATACATGTTTGTGTGTGTGTGTGTGTAAGGGTTTGCTGTTTTAGTTTTTTTCTTGTGTTTGAAATATCTCAAAAACGGCTGCACATACATAATAGATAATCATAGTGAGTGTTAGGTATAAATCCAATAAGAAATTATTACATTTTGGTGACTGTCCTAAGTAGGGTGTGGATGTGAGGAGCATTTAAAAGACTTTGTCCTAGACAAGATATCTCAAAAACTAAACTGATATTATAAATACAAGATATTATACACTGCATGGTAAAATCAGTTAAAATAATGTATACATTATAATAGGCCTACTAATATTTCGGATATTCAGATGATAAAAGCATACAAAATCATCGATTGGACCTTAAAGGACGATGGTCATTTTATTCAGATTGGCCTTATCATGTTTCAGAACACACCATAATTTGTGGTATCTAAGTGACACTTTATTAAAAACAATCAATGATTTTGTTACTCAAATGTCATTATATTGGTATTTTTAAGCCTATTAGATTACCAGAAGTTATTATGGCAAAATTAAACTTTGGTTCATCTCTGAATTTTAAGTTTTACTGTAATAAAGCCTATTAAATAGATACTTATTTGTATTGTCAAAGCTACACTGATGAACTTAGATCAATATATTCATGAGGTGGAGGGGGGCACAAAATGAAGTTAACACCGCCACGCCCACCTCAGCCCCACCACGGTTGGTGTAAATAAGTAGTAAATAATCAAAATCTCCTTTCACCCACTGCTGGATCGCCACTGAACTCATTTTTTATATTGTTCGGCTTGACTGACGGTTGGGAACGGGCCCTCATGGTCCCGTGCTGGATCCGTCACTGCTTTAACACATACCTGTAGGGGGATTACCCACTCTGGTCACTTCGTTAACAAAAACATTTTACTAATGTGCAAGGTGCTTCTAATATTTTTTAACCACTGGAAAGACAATGTTTATGAAATTTTAACAAATCAATCAGCCAATGAAATATACATTTATATAGCACGTAACATAATGATACCATTGTTCAGAGTATTTGCTGTATGTAGAATCATCAATAAATAAGAAAACACAACATATTTGCATTGGCCACCATGAAGTAAGTGTGGGTGAGGGGGGGGGGTGGGACCTTGGCCTATCCGTAGTTCATTTAACTAACTAAGCGTTTCTTTAGAAAGCACACAGGTGTTACATATCTGGTCAATCTTCTATAGTAAAATGATAGGTCATAGTTGGGCAGACCCCTTCTAATAAATCTGCCAAAGAGTGTGTTTGGGGTATTTTGTTTTTTTGAAAATTATAGAAAAAGATACCTATTGTCAAAGTGTTTTAGTAGAGTGATAGTACAGTAGTAAGAAGGGACCAACCTCCGTGGCATCTCCGGGACCCATTTGAATTGGGACTTCTCCCAGGAAGCACTTGTGTTATGCACTGTTAAGGCTTGATAGTAAAATGCTAGTTAGTTATATGAGAGGCCATCCCCACCCCCTCCCACGAGAGCTCATGAGCATTACACAACTGTATCCTGTTTGATTTTTATATAGTATGCCATAATAGGAATTTACGGGACAATACTGTATATGAAAAACTGCACAGTTTCTGATATCTATGCACTGTAAAACATTACTCACCATTGGCAAAGCTTTTAAATGATATCAAACACGACAACTTTTATTGGTCTATATCTCTGTAAATATGTATTATGTTGTTTAAGTGTAATGAAAATAAATGATCAGTGTATATTTCCCTTTCCATTGACACTAATCATGACCATGCTTTATGTGGTGCGTCAGCCATCTTGAAATTCAAAATGGCAGCTGATGATGGGAGAAAAAATGTCACCTACCTTTTCAATTTCAGCGCACCAAAAATGATAAAGTTAGTCAGTAAAATTTATTTTTGCATAAAAATATAGCTTCATTACATAGCAAACTGTACTAATAGCTTATATACTTATTCTTGTTTTGTATATTTTAAATATATTTTGTGGTTACTTTTAAAACAAATAAACACCAGTTTCTGCATATGTTGAGTGACGTGTAGTTATATTATGTCTGGGTTGTTGCCTGTCTAGAAATTATGAGTTTAGACACTAAAATCGTATCTGCAGCTTAGCTATGTTTATTGCTTCTAACATTCCGCTCCCCCTAACTCATTTTTTTCCTGGACTAATACTCATGGTAAATGGCATTAAAAAAATTGTCTGATTGTGATGTAGATATCTTTACCAGAAACAACAGTACAGTAATATGATCCTTTTGGAAGCGCCAAGCAGCATTAAAAAGATATGATTTACACAATTAGCGAATTTTATAAAATTGGCCAACGGTGTACAGCAATTCCGATCAAAGATTTTTTCTCCAGAATTAACCATCTTGGAATAGCGGCAACCAGACCATGCAGATGTAGTGTCAGCAGGAACAAACAGAGGCATATTACCTGTAAGGGTAACATCATCTCGAATATACGACCGTACTCAACACATTAAAAATAAAGGAAGTAATTATATTAACTCAAGTGTTTTTTTTTGGTCATGTGGATAACTTAACGCTGATTAACACACTCTGGTTACGTTCATTGTTCGTTGTCAACGAGGTCTATTTTACAAACCAGTCGAATGAAAATAATACTCAACGAAAAATCTTATTCAACGAAATTAACCAGTCGATTAAGCCCAATGTTGGCTCTTTTTAGAATACATAAGGAAAATAACCTTTTTGAAGCTCTAGCAACCATCTCAGAAACATGGGAAGCCCAAGAAAGCTTGTCCTAATTCTTAATCCCGAGAAGCTTTATATGGGAGACTTATATCCTATGCAATAGCTCATGTAATTTTTCTTTACAATCTCTCAAATTATCAATTCTCAAGCTCATTAAAAAAAAAAGGGCATTCCACAACAATTGTTATTGTATAATTAGCAATTTAGGCAGATGAAATAAAGTCTTTTATCTGGTTCCAGCACCAAAGCAAATTATGATGCAATTGGCATTTTGCCGTAGAGGCTGGGATCCAGCTGATTTTTTTTTATTTTGAACTCACTGATTAAGAGAACTTGGTAGATCCTCCAGTTTTTTCATCTAAGTGCCTAATTTGCATATTTAAAATGGCATTCATCCAAATTACGTTTAAGACAGACTTTATATGGCAATATTAGGCTTTAAAAATTCTGTCCTATGATCACTTCATACAGAGACTAGAAAAGGTGAGGCCTATTTTTTTTTATGAAACTGTATCTTTTCCTTCATAAAATTCACAATTATACATTTAATGGGCTTAAATTAACCTAATTTTGAACGGTTCATTTAGTGAATTTAGCCTCAAATACACATGAAGCAATTATCTCATTAAAATGTTAGTATTCAATCAATCTAGTATTTAACATCTCAGAACAAATATTGTGTACAAACTGGTAATAGCCATCTAAAAGAATCACCCATTCAAAAGAAAATTACATCAACCTTTAATAGCAAATTACAGTAAGAGCCTGGGTTCCAGGCCATAAACTTTTTTATTGCACTTGGTGTGCACCATACCAAAGTTAATTGGCATTCCATTCTTAATTTCTTTAATGAGAAAAAAATATTAAAGGACTTACAGCTAATGTATGATAGATCATAAATAAAAAAAACAAATTTAGATAATTCAAAAATATATAAAAACAAATAAATGAATTAAAGCTTATGATATTAATTTTGGTATGGAAAAAAGATGTTAGTATAGAAAATTACTAACATCTTTAATTATCACTTGAGGTGTTTCTCCATACAAAGGGTACTATCATAAACTTTAATTCATTATTTGTTTTATTGGCAGATAAAATAAAAATATAATAATTAGGAAATATAATATACAGATAAATCACTGACATGTTTAATTTTCAATTGAGGAGGTATTTATGCATACTAGTTATTACTAGATAAATTATTGTCACAAGATTTAATGAATTAGTTATTTTTATGTATACTTTTTTTTGTGATTTTGTTTAAAGCTTGCTTTGGATACCTTTTCCTATTTATCATGTTTCCTTATTTATTTTATGTTTTATTCTCTAATAAGTCATGATAAAATGTAATAAATATTCTATTCGCCCATCAAAAAAGCATTATGGTAATCGTTCTTTTTCTTGGGCTTCTGTTTTTCTTTGGAATGCTTTGCCTATTACAATCCAACAGGCAACTTCCATTGTTGATTTTGAGGCAGCTTTAAAAACTTACCTTTTAAACGTGTACTTTTCTTAAATTTCTCCTAGCATTATTTATTTTTATTGTTAAGCGCATTGAGGCTTTAGCATAATGAGCTATATAAGCCAAAATTATTATTATTATTATTATAAACTGTGACGGAAGTGAACAGTAAAGGAACAAGTACATTCAAGCATGAAACAGGAACACCCAAAAATTAAACATGAACCCCTTGACAAACTAGCAAACTGTACTAGTAGCTTATATACTTATCCAGTTTTCTACATTAAGTATATTTTGCAGTTACAGTACTTTTAAAACAAATTAACACCAGTTTTTGCATATGTTGAGTGACAGTAGTTTTTATCTGTCTAGAATGTTGCCTGAAATTATGAGTTTAGACACTAAAATTGTATCTGCAGTTTATTTATTTCCATTTTTATGCACATTTTTGATAAATTTGGCGACCATTTAAAAAAATGGGGGCCATTTTTATACAAGGTGTAAAATCAAGTGTCAGCAGGCTTAGGGTGACCAGAAGGGATTAATTAAAATAAAATAAAAATAAATTAAATAATAAAATAAACATATATTACCCTTATTTTTCAGCAATAATGGAGACTCAAAAAAGTGATCTGCCTGATGTGCCATCCATCATGACCTTTAAAGGATCATCTGAAAAATTGTCAAGTGATGAACACAAGACACAGCTAGTGGGATCAAGTGAAAGTGAGTTTAAATATTTAAATAATATATTTTGGTTTCTTTGCGGATCAGCAATATACGTCTTTTCAAATCAAACATCCTTTTTAATTTCCACATGCAATAGGGAGACAAAAATATTACACATTAGATATGCCATCCACTAACCCCTCCAGAACATATTCAGCTGTTCCATGGCTAAAAGCAACGATAATGATAAAAAGCTAAAAAGTGGGAACAAGTGAATATGAGTTTAATTATTTCACTATCATAGTAGTAGTTGTTGATGTTGCTCATGCTCTGCAGTAGCAGTAGATTAAAACAAACAACCATATCCTTCTTAATTTACAGCTATAACAGAGATTCAAAAAAGTGACATGCCTGATGTGCCATCCACTATGAGCCTTGAAGGAACATCTGAAGAACTGTCAAGTGATGAATACAAGGCTCAGCTAGTGAGACCAAGTGAAAGTGAGTGTTTAAAGATTTCAATGTTGTTATTATTATATTGTTTTTTTTATTTTTAGTAATTCTGGCGTATAACACCAGATTGTGTTTCTTGGAAATGTATTTGAACATTAACCACAGATTATTTTAATAATTGAGGTCCATGGTACCAAATTGACTAGATATTTATCCTCAATGGCTATGTATTCAGAGTTAAATCAAATATTTTAAGATTTGTCACACGATAAAGAAATTTAAAAAAAAAGCTCTGTGTAAAGTAACTTGGATGTTTGCTTGATAATGATATAAATTCATGATTTTTTCTGTTATCAAGAAATCAATGGTGACCTGAATTTTTATACCATAACATTAATTTTCTTAATCAAGGCACAACAAATTATTAAGCACCAAAGCCACTATGTAATGTAAAATACAATGCTTATTTTTTTGCTTTTTTTTTTTGCTGTTGAACCGTCATCTTTATCTATTTTATCCATTGATATCAGTAGAATCATCCAAATGCATCAGCATTTAATAGCATGTCATAATTATGTTTAAGTTTTCTCTTTTGTGATAACTCTCATCCTCTTTCTTTTCATGATTTTCTTTATTTGTCTAAATACTTTTTCTTTTATACAATAAAATAGCGACCAATGAAAATAATGTTATAACATTAAATATCATTAGATTTAAGTGTCAATTATGTTTTATTTACCAACTGCATAATTACTGCTGTTACAGGCTGATACTATCGGCAATGCAGCAGTGCGAAAAAAAACTCCTGTTTTCTATCAGCGCTGCCGCAGTGTGTAAAAGCTGCTGTTTTCTATTGGCACTGCCACAGTGCGAAAAAAGCTGCTGTTTTCTATCAGCACTTCCACGGTGTGAAAAAAGCTGTTATTTCCTATTGGCATTATTGCCGCATTGCGAATAAAGCTGCTGTTTTCTATTGGCACAGCCGCAATGCCAAAAAACTGCAGTTTTCTATTGGCAATACCACATTCAAAAAGCTGTTGTTTAATTAATCAAAATGGATGTTTTGAACGATAGAGCACATTATTGTATCAATAATTCATTAGGTCTAAAATAATAATAATAATACCAGTAATAATAACAAAGCTCGAATAATACTTTAATGAATTAATAATACTTTAATAGGCATATTTACGATAGCTTGATTAATGAGAGAATAATGAATCAGCATATTAAATCAACACATATGAACACAAGACACAGCTGTTGGGATCAAGTGAAAGTGAGTTAGCTCACTGTTGTTGCAAGTTGTTGCTCTTGATCTGCAATAGCAGTAGTAGAATAAAATGGAAAAAATCCTATCTTTTCAATTTTCACTTATAATAGAGATTCAAAAAAGTGGCATGCCATATGCCATCACCCTTGGAGAAATATTCGAAGAACTGTCAAGTGATGTTGTTTGGTATATTTTTTTAATTGTTTCCAGTAGGAATTTTTTCTACATCTGTCAATAAACCCCAACTATTGAATAAATCAAGGCCTCATTCTGCAGCTCAAAACAACAGATATTTGCACCTTATGTGCTCTTGTAATTTTTCCTTAGGGCCTGTAAACAATAGTTCACATTGCTGCTTCCACAGCTACTGTTTACTGCATTCTTGGTCCTTCAGTGAGGATGAGAATGACAGTGGAGTATGTATTACGTGTCAGCCAATTTGTTGCCCATGGTCTTGTCAAAAATAATCACTGATTATTATGGAATAGTAGTAGTCCCAATTTATAAAAAGTGATAGAAAGGATTTAAATAGCCTCATACTAAGCCTCAGCATTTTGTGATAGGCCATTGCTAAGTAATATTTGTAAATCATTTTTTATCAGTAATCAACTGTAGCACAATTTTTTGGGCCTTAATACAAATAGAATACACTAATTGTTGTACCATTATGAACTATTATGCACTTGAGGAGCCAGGCAGCTAAGGAAAGGATTATTTTCCTCTTAAAATTGTGCTTTTTACCTTAATCTGATTTGATTGTTGTGTTTAATTCGTCCGTGAAGGTTTGTGGAAGTTTTCTGTGGTGTTTTTTTTTAAAGTATTGTGATCGTGTTATTTTTTAGCTGTTTTCACACTAGCTCAAAGAGAACCGAACCTGCTGGTGTTACATAACCCACATTCTAGATCGAGGGAGTGTCGTAAACTTGTGCACGCAAGGCCGGCTGAGTACTCCCTTCCCACATAACACAAAGTTTAGGCCATATATGTTGCAAACATCCTGAAACAGGTATTATCGTCACATGTGACTTTAACAAAATGAGAGACTATCTGCTTCTGAAGTATCCCTTAAAACAGGTTGTTAAGGTCGCAACCAGAGATGCCACATCACTTGATTTGATATAAACTAATATGAGTGAATTTTATGAGGCCCTATAAGAGAATCACCGCTTGGTCTGTCTGACCATCACAGCGTCGTTGTTTTTTCGAATGTAGGTAAGAATTGCCCCGGAAAAAATGGCCCCGGAAAAAATGGCCCCGGTAAAAATGGCCCCATATGACAGGTAGGTAAAAATGGCCCCAATGAAAAATTCGGTAATAGAAATGATATATATTTTTTTTAATCTTCAAATATTTAAATACTGTATAAGCAAGAATTGAATCAAGAAATAAAAAATGGCCCTCAATTATAAAATTCAAGAAAAAAAAAACAAAATAAATTTTGTAAAATACCTTGTAGAAAAATTTAATTAATAAATCAACATAAAGAATATGCATATTTGAGAACTAAAATAAATTAGTTTTTAGCTCCTATGAGTAGCTCTGGGAGTAGGTCTAAGTATTTTTAAAAATTATTAATATTATTAGATACTATTACTATATTTGGGGCCAATTATTAATATTATTATTATTAATGGCTCTGATAGGACGCTCTAAAACATTGATTCGGCACCAGTTTTGAACGACGAACTTGCATGGAATGTTATAAACAATTTTCGCGAAATTTGAAATAAAAATTTCCAATAACGTGGCGAATACCAACTATGGGGACTTTCAGAGGCCTGGCATTTCGCGGTACGTATTACTGTCATGGATAACATCAACAATAAATCTAAATTGCTAACGAGCACAAGAAAAACAGTACAGTAAAATGTACAATAGTCAGCGAATTTGTCAAACAAGGTATAAAAAAAGTCTCGCCTTGGGTAGCATCTTTTTAAAGAAAATCATTAATTTCATTAAAAAAAACACAAGTTACTGATTGATTAAATAATTCTATTTTAAATAAGAAATGATTATGCACAGTAAAGGTAACATAGGACAACATTTAAAAGATCATTATACTAGTGCTACTGAAACTGTTAATTATTTCAAGGTTTTATCTAAGTGCAAATCAAAGTTTGCTTAATTAAATAAATGCTTTGGATCAAAGAACTGAAACCTACACTTAACAAACAAATCAGTCAAAGCCAAACTGTTTATCTAGTTAATCTGCTAAGAAGGGCTAATTATTGCTTAGCTCCATTGTGGCTCCACACAGTAGGCCCTATTGATATGTAAATTAATTACTTACTTCCTGTCACTGCTTGGCATTTTTGTTTTTAATTTTTTTTCAATTTACTTGATCTTGAGAATGGTTCCATGATGGACCCGAAACGTCGATCTTTCTTGTCATTAAATTTTGTTTTGAGATTATGTTCTTAATTGATTTAATAAATAAAAGCCACAAATAATAATTTGATTTACTAAATTTCATTATGTAAAAATAGTTATGCTTTAACATAGATTAAAAATATGTTATGCCTTACTTTTTTTTAATCTATGGTCTTTTTAATTAATTTTCTTTCTTTTATTGGAAATTCCATAGTGCAGAGTAAATTTATCAAAACCCATTGGGTTTACAGTAATATGAAAAAAAAAATTTAGTTTATACAGAAATAGTATCTAAAATGATCTCAGTTTCCAAAGTTAAAGCAAAAGATCTAATCTAAACACACAATATAAGGCAGGATGTATTTATTTGGAAAAGAACCCACTCTTTTGTGAAATTAAGAGGTTTATAGGTGAAAATTATTATTATTATTATTATTATTATTATTATTATTATTATTATTATTAAATAAAAATACTAAATTTAAACAAATTAGAATACTAAATATTAGACAAATACCATTATTGTAGTAAAGTATACTCTATTAAAGTACATTAATGGAGTATTTAATTTTGTTAATTAATAAATAACCTGTTCAATCAAATATCTTAGCTTGTAATTATTATTATAGAAATGAGTCCTATTGAAATACTGTATAATACTGGTTTTGCTGCGATTCAATACATAAAATGATAAAATGGTAAGATCTTAGTGATGGATACATTTACATTCAAATTATTATCTTAGTTATATAATATAAATTCTGTAAATGTAAATTAATGATAATTATTAAGAATTCAAGACATTCAAATTATTATCTCAGTTATATAATATAAATACTGTAAATGTAAATTAATGATAATTATTAAGAATTCAATTTGTAAACCATATACATGTATGGTAAATACTTTTTTTTATAGAATTAGTCATTTATATTCTTATTTTTACCCATTGTGCAATAATTTTAGAAAATAATTTTAGAAAACTAAAATATACCTATTAAAACAATTAAACTTTAAGCACAGTGATTACTAAAATAAAATTATTATTATTATTAAAGGGAAGTATTTAATTGAAAGTGATTTTTAATATAAGTCATTTTAAAAATTAAAATAAATTTAGAAAACTAAAAAAAATTAAACTTTAAGCACAGTGATTACTAAAATCTACAATGATTACTAACCAACATGCATGTTGTCAGAAAAAATGAATGAATTAAAGGCGTATAATAGGAGTGTACAATAGCAAATTAAGTCCTATTGTAAAGCTAGATAAAATAGATAAATTGTTCACCCTGTTGCCCACCTACTTTAACAATGGTATATTCCAATTGGGTGGTTTATGTCCTGGGTGGTTTATGTCCTGGGTGGTTTATGTCCGTATACCGTGAGTGAGGGTTGAAA